TCTTTCGGTCTCTTTCTGTCTTTGCCTGTGTCGGGAGGCTGCGATCTGTGAAAAACTGTCTGTTCTTTCGAGGCCTTGCTGGGGGGTCCTTGAGTAGAGGGTAATGCGGCGGATTTTCAAAAGTAGACCCTGCCAATCCTTGGGGGGCTGCGATCTTGTGAAACGGTCGCCACTTTCGGGCCTCCTTTGTGGGGGGTCCTTGCATAGAGGGTAAATCGCGGCGGATTAAAAATTTGACTCCGCCATCCCTGGGGGGGGGGGGCTGCGATTCTGTGAAACTGTTCGCCACTTTCGAGGCCTCGGGGGGGGTCTGCATAGTGGGTAGCCTTCGCGGCGGATTCAAATGGGACCTCGCCATCCCTGGGGGGCTGCGATCTGTGAAACTGTCGCCACTTTCGAGGCCTGCTGGGGGGCCCAGCACAGTGTGCACCCGCGGCGGATTCAAATGGGACCTCTCCATCCCTGGGGGGCTGCGATCTGTGAAACTGTCGCCACTTTCGAGGCCTGCTGGGGGGCCCAGCACAGTGAGGGCCACGCGCAGATTCAAATTAGACCTCGCCATCCCTGGGGGGCTGCGATCTGCGAAACTGTCGCCATTTTCGAGGCCTGCTGGGGGGCCCAGCACAGTGAGGGCCACGCGCGGATTCAAATTAGACCTCGCCATCCCTGGGGGGCTGCGATCTGCGAAACTGTCGCCATTTTCGAGGCCTGCTGGGGGGCCCAGCACAGTGAGGGCCACGCGCGGATTCAAATTAGACCTCGCCATCCCTGGGGGGCTGCGATCTGCGAAACTGTCGCCATTTTCGAGGCCTGCTGGGGGGCCCAGCACAGTGAGGGCCACGCGCAGATTCAAATTAGACCTCGCCATCCCTGGGGGGCTGCGATCTGCGAAACTGCGCCATTTTCGAGGCCTGCTGGGGGGCCCAGCACAGTGAGGGCCACGCGCGGATTCAAATTAGACCTCGCCATCCCTGGGGGGGTGCGATCTGCGAAACTGCCGCCATCGAGGCCTGCTTCGATTCAAAGGACCTCGCCATCCCTGCTGCGATCTGGAACCTGTCGCGAGCAGCAGTGAGGGCCACACGGGCCAGATCTGCAAATCGAGGCCTGCTGGGGGGCCCAGCCAGTGAGGGCCACGGGCAGATTCCACCTCGCCGTCCCTGCGGGGCTGCGATCTGTGAACCTGTCGCCACTTTCGAGGCCTGCTGTGATCCCCGTTTTCGAAGTGGCTAGGAGTGCTCAGGAATTGTAAATCATCAGCTTTATCAAGCCCTTTTCCTGTAGCCAGTGTCCTGCGAGTCTCCCGAATTCCGTCTGCAGACATATGTAACCCTCGCTCCGTCATCGCCCCCTTATAAAGTATCCTAAACTATTTGCGCCCCGCTTTTGCGCAGGGGTTGGGTACGTCGCCAGGGTAATTATATATATATATATAAATTAGAATCGAACGTACCGCAACAATGAAAACATCGCACATTTCATGTGGGATGCGGCTGAAACAACCATTACTTCCGATCTATAACAATTTAGGTCTTAAGTTCCGGGCCACCTATAGTTCGGGGTGGACCTCTGGGTTTGGATTTTGGCATGCGCGCGCAACGACGCGCGCGAGTGCACTTCGTCAATTTTTTTTGCAAGGGATTTGCGAAAAAGTGTTATATTAGAATACAACAAATCGCCGCATAGTTTTTTTGGTCTAAAAAAAGGGGCCCTCAGGGGGGGGGGAACCCGGTTGGCCTGGGACATTGTGATGTCATTTTTAGGATGGCCATGTGGTCATAATCATATGTGATTTACATACCCGAAAGGGGGGCCGATAATGCCGGGGGGGGGGGGGGGGGGTAGATCCGATTCTTTTCTTAGAAAGGAGAATCTATGTGGGGCCATATATATATGTATGTATATATATGTATATATATATATATATATATATATATATATATATATATATATATAGGGCACTCTTCGCGTTGTAATATTTATAGGTGAAGCGATCTATGTTTGCAATCTATGTTGATCGATCTACTTGCTGCAGTCATTGTGGTGCAGTCTGTGTTAGGCAATATGTGTGGAGCAATCTGGGTGGTGCAATAGATGTGATGCGATCTATGCGGCGCAACCTGTGTAGAGCAGTGTATGTCGCGCAATCTATGTGGTGTGATTCGTGATGTTCAATCTATGTGGTGTGATCTAGGTTGTGTAATCTATTTGGTGCGATCAATGTGCAAAGAACGCCCCTCCCCGCCGAGCGGCTGGGTGACGCTGGCCACAGCGCCTTCCAGCCTTCACCACATGTCCACATCATGCTATCGCGAATGGCCTGCCTTTTCTTGCGCTTGGCGGTGCTCCTTCGCTCACCGCATTCGCACGGCCACTGCAACGGCTTCCAGGGGCAGAGGAACTGACTTTTGGAGGAGCGGTACCTCCAATTGCTTGCACCCAGATTTCGTTAGGGACTGCATGGGTAACGCGACTCAAGGATTTAAGCGGGTGTTCACACATTGCATATAACACGCAGCTTCAAACGTGATCTGCTTCGTGCCTGGTGCGTTCGAGCATCGGGTATGCAAGCAAACATGCATCATAAAACAAGGCCAGGCACCGCTGAACAAGCACGGGGGTCTGCACGCAGCCACGCAAACAATCACACTGCAAACCCGTCGCGGCAATAAGCAACCAAAATGTAGGCGCAACGTAATACGACTTCAGGTGTGCATCCACAGAAGACGGCACATGTACGCAACCTCGAGGCGGCTGCCGCGAACCCACTCGCCAAGACTGGTCGAGACCTCCTGCTGGCAAGCCTATCAACCCATCCCGTCACCGTGCCTGGGTTATCGGTCAGAGGCCCCAAGGATGCTTGTGAGGATCTCTTGGGAGACCTCTCGGAAGCCTCTTGGAGGCGTTTTTTTGGGGCGTCTCGGGGTCTCGGGGGCTTCTTGGGGTCTGACTTGGGCGTCCTGGGGCTTCTTGGGGGCTTCGTGAGGGCACTTCGGGGGCCTCTGGGGTGATCTTGGGCCAACTTGGGCGGAGGGCCCAGATGTCGGTTCGTGTACTCCCTTTCGGGTCCCTCTCTGGGCTAAGGCGGTGCGCGGCAAAATCAGAAAACAGCCGATGGATTTTGACGATTTGGGCCTCCTGGGCCGCCTCCAGGACGTCCAGGACGGCCCCGGAGGCGCCGGTGAGGGCTCCAGGGCGGTCCTCGGGGCCATGTTTGCCCATGTTGGACACGCATGTCCCGAGCCACGTGCTCGTGGTTTCTGGGAAAGTCACGCGAGCATTGTGGAAGTCGACTAGTTGAGAGGAAGCATGCTGCCGAGTACTTTCCAGATGTCTCAAGAATGTTTCAAGCATGTTCCAAACATGTACAACCATGTGCAAGACATGTTTGGGACATGTTTCCTGCAGTTCGAGTGCATTCAAAATTCAATGATAGGACTGTTAGGGTGTCCACTGTTGTGGCATCCGCGAGAAGAGTCACGCGAGCCAGTCCCACGAGCGCCCTGGAGCGCCAGAGAGCGACCGGAATGCCGGGCGCTGGGCCCCTGAAAGAGCACCTGCAAGGTGGATCGAGAGAGCTCGAAGGGGGCCGAAGACGCTACAGTTTGCGCCTCGTGGCACAGTTTTGTGGAAGTCGATTAATGGAGAGGAATCATGCTGCCAAATATTTTCCAGATGTCTAAAACATGTTTCAAACATGCTTGAAAACACAAAACATGTTGAACACATGTCTAGGACATTTTTCTTGCATTCTGAAAACATTCAAAATTCAATGATAGGGCTGTTAGGGTGTCCAGTGTCGTGGCATCCACGAGGAGAGTCACACGAGCCAGTCCCACGAGCGCCCTGGAGCGCGGGATAGCGACCGGAATGCCGGGCGGTGGGCCCCTGAAAGAGCGCTTGCAAGGTCTGATCCAGAGAGCTCGAAGGGGGCTGAAGACGCTCCAGCTTGTGCCTCGGGGCATGGAAGCGGGTTCATCCTTGTGGAATTCGATCAGTGGAGGGGAAGCAGGCTGCCAAACATTTTCCAGTTGTCTAAAGCATGTTTCAAGCATGCTTTAAACATATACAAACATGCTTGAAGCATTTTTAGAACATGTTTTACACGCTGTAGAACATTAGAGAGTGTCCATTGTCATGGCATCCACAAGTTTATACATGGGCACTAGCACTATATAGAAAGCTATGGGATTTGTTGTTTGTCCCCTCCCTCAGTTCGCTCTGCACTCTGTACATAAGATTGCATGTCAAGCCCTGCTTAGTCTATAGTCAGCTCTGCTCTGTATTCTATGATGTGTACATGCTCTCTCGTCTGTGCGATCTACTATCGCATTGTGGCCTATCTCCTTGTATAGATCTCCTAATATCTCTTCTCTCTATGTGTATGTATGTATATAAGCAGAAATGGTCGTTGTCACAAGTGCTCTCCCTCTTTCTATCTTCCGTCTCTCTCTCTCTCTCCCTGTCTCTCTCTCTCTCTCTCTCTCCTTCTCTCCCTGTATCTCTCTCGCTCTCTGTCGCCCTCTCTCTCTCTCTCTCTCTCCCCCTTCACTTCTGCTACTGACTTGTGGATGATTCAAAAGTCGCTCTGCCGCCTACTTTCCAACTTCTGTTGGAGAGGCTTCCGCCTTTCCACCGACCCCAGGGAGATGTGCGGTTTCCGAGTTCTCCCCGTCGTGCTGTCTGTGTGTAGCTGCTGCTGATCCGGCCTCATCTTTCTCCGCGTCTGCCGCGGGCTTCTTGGGGGCCTCTTCGAGGCCAACGTGGGGGACCACTTGCAGCTTTCTCAGGGCTCCTGGGCCTTTGAGGACCCCCTGGCGACGTCTTGGAGGCCCCTTGGGGGCATGTTGGGGCTCTTGGGATCTTGTGTAGGAGGCTTCCGGGGTAGTTGCGAGTTCCCCCTCTCTCAGCATTTGTGGTAGTCTTGGAGGCCTCTTGGGCCGCCTTCGGGCCCTAGGGAGCTGGTGCGCCATGGCCACTGGGTCGCCCAGTAGACGGAGGAATTTGCTGAGTGATGGGTGCCTGCAGAGGCGCTGGCCTCGATGCCTCCGATTGCGCAGCCTTCTGTTCCTGTGTGTTCGCAAGTTTTTTCGGACACGCGTGGTGTTGATGCAGACGAGCTGGCGCAGGAAGCAACCGCGGCAGCTGAGGCTCCCGTGGCCTGCTACCTGGCGCGGCATCGGGGCCTACTTCATGTGTGTTCACGAGTTTTTTTCGGACACGTGGTGTTGATGCAGAGCAGCTGGCAGAGGGCGCCACCCTGGTAAGCGTGGCCCGGCGCGGCATCGGAACTTACCGCTGGTGGAGGAGGGCGTGGGGGATGAGAGAGGGCAGTTGACATCTCTGGATGCTCCGTCTCACCGTGCGCCGTGGCCATGGGGTCGTTCAGCCGACGCCAGAAATTGCTGAGTAATAAGTGCGCGCAGAGGCGTTGGCCTCGATGCATCCGATTGCGCAGCCATCTGTTCGTGTGCGTTCGCGAGTTTCTTCGGTCACGCGTGGTGTTGATGCAGGCGAGCTGGTGCAGGAATTAACCGCGGCAGCTGCGGCTCCCGTGGCCTGCCGAGGAATACCCTGCGCGGCGTCGCGACCTACCGCGGGGGGGGGGCGAGGAGGCGGAGGTGGAGGGTAACGCGAGTATGAGGAGGGGGTGTAGTAGGTATGATGCGCGGCGACTCTGCGCGCGAGGCGCGGAAGCATGACGGCGCAGCGTCTCGAATTTCGACGGTGCCTGGACCTCGGGTTCGGCGAGTGTGGCTCTGTGCGCTCGTTGGCCGACGTTATCCTGCGTGGAGTTCGCTTTCGACAAGTGTTACAGGTTTTACTGCCGTTAGCAGTCTTGTCGGTGATGAGGTTGCCCCTCTTCACTCTTGCGCCGGCACGATGTTTTGGCATTTGTGTCGCTTACTTTATGGATGCCGTCTGGGTGTGCCTGTCATTCTAGTTCGTCTCTGACGATGCTGTTTGCTTGACTCACACCGAGCGATCGACCTCTGCGTGTTTATGGTCGCGCCGCCGCGCCATTTTGCTGCGCTTGCTTGCTGGTCGCTACCGGGATTTCCAACGCCACCGGGTTTGGGAGTATCGGTTCTGGCTCCTTCTGAGTGGCTGCCCGTTCGCTCGCTTCGCTTGCCTTGCTTTTCCTGCTGCCTAGTCGCGGCCCGACTCGTGTTCGGACGGCATTCGGCCCGCCTCGCGAGCCTGTTGACCAAAAGTATCCCCACCAGCATGGCGTTCAGGTGATCTTGATTTCATGCAAGGATTCACGCAGGGAGTGGCGCTGCGTCGCATTCGTTGAGGTCAGGTGCCCCCTGGCCTGCTCCTGGCTGGTGTCGGCCCCTACTGGTGACCGGAAGGTTCGAGTGGGTCTGTCGCTACACTGCCTACTTTACGGTACCTGGACCTCGGGTTCGGCGAGTGTGGCTCTGTACGCTCGTTGGCCGACGTTATCGTGCGTGGAGTTCGCTTTCGACAAGTGATACAGGTTTTACTGCCGTTTGCAGTCTTGTCGGTGATGAGGTTGCCCCTCTTCACTCTTGCGCCGGCACGATGTTTTGGCATTTGTGTCGCCTACTTTACGGATGTCGTCTGGGTGTGCCTGTCGGTTTATTTCGTCTCTGACGGTGCTGTTTGCCTGACTCACACCGAGCGATCGACCTCTGCGTGTTTATGGTCGCGCCGCCGCGCCATTTTGGCTGCGTTTGCTTGCTGGTCGCCACCGGTATTTCCAACGCCACCGGGTTTGGGAGTATCGGTTCTGGCTCTCCTTCTGAGTGGCTGCCCGCTCGCTCGCTTCGCTTGCCTTTCTTTTCCTGCTGCCTAGTCGCGACCCGACTAGTGTTCGGACGGCTTTCGACCCGCCTCGCGAGCCTGTTGACCGAAAGTATCTCCACCAGCCTCCTGTTTGCCTCTCTCCTGATCGTCCTTGTTATTTTCATTCGCCGTTCTCTGCTTTTGCGCTGATTTAGGCCGTTGTTAGTTTGCAATTCCTTGGGCGCCGCCCGACATTGATTGCTTCGCCGCGGTCGCGATCAAAAAAATATCCCCACCAATCCATCCATAACCGGTGCCCAGGCGGGTTGCCTTGATCAGGAACGTGTAGGAACATACCTTGCAACAAGTGTTGGATCAGGCTGATGAGACGCATATTGAAGCCGAACGCAAGGAGGATGATGAGACGATGAGGAGGACGAGGAGTGGGACGAGGACGAAAATAATGCAGAAGAAAATGACGAACAGGGGAACGAGGAGGACGATGTGGGCGAGAAAACGACGAAAACGAGGAGGAAGAGGATCGCTCAGAGTCTGGCAACTTTTTTGGGGTCTACTGGAGGCTCTCTGAGGGTCCTGTTGGGACTCTCGCGGCCCTCCTGGGGCCCTTTTGGGGCTACTGTTCAGGGCCTGCGGGTCCTCTTGGGGCTCTTCTGGGGAGTCTCGGGGCTCTCTTGGGGCCCTCTTGGGGGTCTGAGGAATCTTGAAGGGCCTCTTGGGGCCATCATGTAGGGCGGCGGTCCGAAGAGGGGGCCGCTTCATGATAGTGATGGTGATCGTATCGAAGCCCTACATTTCGCGACTATTTCGGCTATGGCGGCATGGGCGCCGGATGGGGCATGGGTCGGAGCCATACTGACGGTCATCGGGTATTATCCGTCGACTTGGTTGTCATTGCTCTGCACTTGGTCCTGATCTCAGAACTTGTACTGGGTGGTCGTCGTTCCGTTGAAGTTGATCACTGCCGTGACCTGCGTCTGTCGTGGCCGCTCTGCTGCTTGGCAGCCTGGCCACGAACGCGGCTCACTTCAACGTCACACTTAGGGCTCCCGGCGCTCGCGTTTTCTCGCAGCTATCGGGCAGCGGGCCCTTGAGGTGCAGGAGTTACGCTGTTTCCGGAGCCCGTGCCGGAGAAAAGAGCTCGCCCAAGTGCTCCTCAGTCGACGGCTGACAGCAGCGAGACCGCGGTGCCCAGAGGTCGACCAGGGACGCAGCTTCCGCCGACGGCAGTGTGGAGCAAGCGGGAACAGGGGAGATTGAGCTCCTTTCCGATCAGGTCGCCAGCGAAGGTAGCTTTGGCATTGATGTGTCGGGCTTCTACGACACTGCCCTGGTGGCGGTGAAGGCGCGGACAGATGACATTGCAAAGAACGGCGGCTCGAGGCTGCTGCAGCGAGCCAGCGATCCTTCCCCCCCTCCGTCACCCCAACACACTGCGTATGTTTACGGGGCGTGCAGGCGTGTATGGACGGTGCTCCGAGCAAATTGTGCCTGGTGCTGGCTTGCTTCGTGGCCCAAAGAGGCCCGTGAAGCTGCGCTTTGAACTCTACAGGGCAGGGGCCTTCACCAAGCGCGCTCCACTACTCGCGCTTGCCTACTCGATGTAATATATCGTGAATCCCCCGCGGCGGATCGAGGCCATTTGCGAGTAGTCACTTTGCGAGTCGTGGAACGCTCCCGCGTAGGCCTGGCCTGCCGCCCCAGCATACCCCTCCTCCCCCCCCCTCATGACCGCCCCTCCGCCCCTCCCCGCCCCCTCCCTCCCGCTGGCCCCCATGGGGTGTCTCCCTCGGACGAGGGTCACCAGCGGGAGGAGGCACTCGACGATCACGACGGCGGCGGCGGCGGCGCCGACGAGGGGTGGCGCCGGTGGCGATGGCGGGCGACCATGGCGACGACAGCGGCGACGGGCGGCGCCCGCCTCGGCGCGCGGCGCTCGCAGCGGTCGCTGGGCGCGGCGCCCGCAGCGGTCACGGGGCCGCGGCGCGCGGGGCGGGCCCGCGCGCGCGGGCCGCCCGGCGGGCGGTGGCCCTCGCGCGCCTCGGGCCGCTGGAGGCTCCGCGCCCTCGTCGTGCCCTTCGCCGCGGCCGCTGCCCCCCCGCGCCGCCGCCGCCGCCGTCGTCTTCGTTGTCGTCATCGTCGTCTTCGCCTTCGTCGTCGTCATCGTCGTTGCAGTCGTCGCCGTCGCCGTCGCCGTCGCCGTCGCCGTCGGCGTCGCCGTCGCCGTCGCCGTCGCCGCCGTCATCCGTGTTGTAGTTTTGTTGTTCTAGCTGTGTTTTCGGAGTCTTGGGAGAGCCTGGCTGAGTTTTCAAAGACGCCTACGGCGAACTATCGCCGCCCCCTGCCTTGCTGGAAACACCCATGTTGCCAAACGTAGGTCCAATGGACCATGTGTTCCCCGAGCTGTTGTGGGACCCCTTGGGGGGACATTCTGGGGAGGAAGAGAGAGGAGGATGAGAAGGAGATGGAGCAGAAGCAATAGGACAAATATGAGAAGGACTGATGATGATGATGATGATGATGATGATGATGATGATTGTTTTTATCATCATTATCATCAGTATCCCTACTATGCCTATTTTATTTTTTTATGATTGCCATAGAAAATATTACCATGATGATGGTGATTATGATGATGACGATGACGATGATGCAGATTATGATGATGATGATCACGATGATGCTGCTACTGATGATGATGGTGATGGTGATGATGCTCATGATGCTGATGATGCTGATACTGATGCTGCTGCTGATGATGACGAGGAGGATGAGGAAATGGAATCAGAGGAGGATGACGAGGATGAGGAGGATGATGATGATGAGGAGGAGGAGGAGGAGAAGGAGGAGGGAGATACTCATGATGATGCTGCTGATGATGATGCTGATGCTGAGGATGATGATGATGATGCTGATGATGGTACTGCTGCTGATGATAAAGATGATGAAGATGATGGTGATGATGCTGCTGATGATGATGATGGTGCTGCTGATGATGATGATGATGAGGACGATGATGATGGTGATGATGATGATGCTGATGGGGATGATGATGATGATGATGATGATGATGATGATGATGATGATGATGATGATGATGAGGAAACGGAGGAGGAGGGGGAGGAGAAAGAGGATGACGAGGACGAGTAGTAGTAGTAGTAGTAGTAGTAGTAGTAGTGGTAGTAGTAGTAGTAGTCGTAGTAGTCGTAGTAGTCGTAGTAGTCGTTGTAGTCGTAATAGTAGTAGTAGTAGTAGTAGTAGTAGTAGTAGTAGTAGTAGTAGTAGTAGTAGTAGTAGTAGTCGTAGTAGTAGTAGTAGGAGTGTGAAAACGTGTTAGTAGTCGTAGTAGTAGCAGGAGCAGTAGAAGTAGTAGCAGCAGTAGTAGTAGTAGTAGTAGTAGTAGTAGTAGTAGTCGTAGTAGTCGTAGTAGTAGTAGTAGCAGTAGTAGTAGTGGTAGTAGTAGTAGTAGTAGTAGTAGTAGTAGTAGTAGTAGTAGTAGTAGTAGTAGTAGTAGTATTAGTCGTAGTATTAATTGTAGAAATAGTAGTAGTAGTAGTAGTAGTAGTAGTAGTAGTAGTAGTAGTAGTAGTAGTAGTAGTAGTCGTAGTCGTAGTAGTAGTCGTAGTTGTAGTCGTCGTATCAGTAGCAGTAGTAGTGGTAGTAGTAGTGGTAGTAGTAGTAGTAGTAGTAGTAGTAGTCGTAGTAGTCGTCGTGGTCGTAGTAGCCGTCGTAGTCGTCGTCGTCGTCGTTGTCGTCGTCGTTGTCGTCGTAGTAGTAGTAGTAGTAAACGTAGTAGTAGTAGTAGTAGTAGTAGTAGTAGTAATAGTAGTAGTAGT